AAGAACTGGTACATAACTACAATTGGATATTCCGGTATGGCTTGTATGATTTTCATTTATTTCTTATTGACTGAATCTTGCATTTCATTTTTGTTACCTGGTAACTGTCAGTTTGTGTTCCAAGGTTTGTTCACAAATATTGCAAAATTTTTTGATGGATATCAGCAAAGAGTTTACTTTCATGGAGAAAGATGTGAATGTTCGATGCAGCAGGATGCAGAAAATTCAATTCAAATTCAGTTTTCTAGGGTGTTTGTGATTAACAACAGTTAAAAAATTTACGGTGGCATATTCGAAAAATATTGCACACGTGTGTCATTTTCAATAAGCTTTTTAATCATCATCAATCATCATTTTAGATAAACAAATTGTTTAGATTGTTTTAAATTTAAATTTCTTTTGTATAATTCGACTTTCTTATTGTAGTCTAAATAACGTTTAATTACTTCTAAGCAGTACGGTTAATGGATGCTTTAAAATTTAATTTTCTCTAATGTTTTTTGTATATCATGGGGCTTTAATCAAATTCTTTAAGGGTGAGCACTGGGTGTGGCGAAATCGCACAAGTAATCTCGATACGAGAACTGCCGTCCTTCACGTCATTGGCGGATTGTTTACCTGAGGATGATAGCGATCTTGAAGAGTCTGTTGAAAAAGATATTCCTGTCGTCAATAGGACATCGTCAGTGTCTAGTACAGAATCATCTCTTTTAAATACTAGTGCGTCAGCTGTATGCGTGGCAGTTACTCATCCGCTTCTGGACCAGATTGACTTTAAGTGGGACATCGAGTTGGCACACAAAGTACGCAGATCCAGAGAACAACCTCGGTCATCAATCATTAACCAATTTTGCGCACTTCACATTGATTTTTCTGTCCCGTCTCTGTTAAAAGTTAATCATTAAAAACTTTTTGGGGTGCGCTAACACTGTTTCGATTTTTGTTTATCTGTAATTCATATTTCAAATGTTATGATTTGTACTTCATAAACAGATGCTAAAGTTCGTTGCGTTGTTTACAGTTATTTTCTAATTTATGCATTGGTGTTGTATAGCAACTTTTATATTATGAAGTGAGTATGTTGTAACTCACCGGAGGTCGTTTACTCAATGGCGGATTGTTCGCCGGAGGATGAAGGCGATCTTGAAGAGTCTGTTGAAAAAGAAGATATTTCTAACGTCGATAGCATATCGCCAACGTCTAACCCATGGTCGTCTTTTTTCCCTGTTAACGCATTAGCTGTATGCGTGGCAGTTGCTCAGCCTCCTATTAATCAGACTGACTTGAAGTGGGACATCAAGTTGGCACACAAAGTACAGATTCAAAGAGCAAATTCAGTCATTAATTTTTGACTAATTTGTCGCTCTTCCCATTTACTTTTTTGCCCCATCTCAGTTGAAAGCTATTTATTAAAAATATTTTGGTGGCGCTGACATTGTTTCGATTTCTGTTTAACTGTGATTAATATTTCAATGTTATGCATACCACATGTTATGTTTTCTATTTCATAAACAGATGCAGAAGTTCGTTGCGTTGTGCTCAGCCATTTTCCAATTATGCATTGGTATTGTATAGCAACTTTTATCTTATGAAATGTCTGTTGTAACTCACCGGCGATCGTTTGGTCAGTTTGGTATAATGTGAAATGGACGAAATGGTTCATTTATGTTGTGATGGAAATGGCTGTGGATAGCAGAAATTACCTCTAAGGGATATGACTTTTCTATAAAAACTGAAGACTGTCGAAGGAGTAGGCCAAGTTGCACAGTGGGAAGGTTGCTGAAATTGTTCTGCTTGATGCTTCTCTAGAATGAAAAATCAGTTGTGATGGTTTGGTATGTATTGCGAACGATTTAAGAAAGGATGGCGAAGCGGTTGCAGTTCGTTTAAACGGACTGTCAGGGCATCCAAGAAAGCTGAAAAGGTGGCTTATTCTGGTTATATTTTGGCGAAACTTCGACGCTGATACAGGATGCAAGCGTTTAAGATAGCTTGACGCATTTGCTTTCGGTCTTCTAAACCTGCTATCTTGCGTAATTTGACATATAGCGGTCTTCACGGGCGCAAGTCTTCGAAGTTTTGAATGTAAACCTGTTTGGATGGCTGTTAAATTTATGTTGTTCTTACTGATATGCTTATGCAATTGTTTTTAACCGGCTTTATGAAGGTATTGCTGTGTTGGTATTCAGCAGTTTATCTGAAAGTCACAGGGTCTCGTGTATTTCGGGATCTAGTACAGTGAATATGTAATTGCTGAGATACCTGTGTACGTTCGACTGGCACGATCGGTATCATTTTATGATATGGCGCTGATCTGTTTTTGTGAAAGACGTATTAATTTTGGTGATCTTCGCTTATCCATTTCAAATAAAGGATGGCTTTTCACTTGCGGTTTGATTTCACGATCTTTGATTTGATTTCACGGTGGGGTCATGATTTGCTGACTGAGTAGCCCCCGTTTTCGGATGATAACGGCAAGCAAGATTAATAGAAAGCAGCCTGAAATTTCACGCGGTTTTGTTTGTCGTTATTTTTGTAAAATACCTGATGGCAGTGTTTCGAGGGATGAGCACTCAAGTGTTTGATTGGGTT